ACCAATTAACGTTTTTGTCTGCTCAAGTATATCTGTCCATAAGACAGAAAACTCTATTAAGTGGAAAAACGTTTACTACTTCCTCCTTTTTTGATAGCCACATCTTACAAACCTGAAGTATGAAAAACGACAGGCGTCACTAATTGACGCAGCTGTAAGTTTCAAAAAAAATGATATTGTTGAGTGTAAGATATGCCACTTGTTCCGCTATGTTGCTACACTTTAGGCCAGTCCTGCAGTAAAAAAAAACCACGTCTTACCCAAGTCATCTTCATTAACGGCCTGGTTCTGTTTAGCCAGCTCCTTGAGGATTTCTTCTAGGTTCTCATTATATTCTCGTGATTCTCTAGCACTTCGCGGTATTTCCTCTTTGGGATACCACTCCTGAAACGAGCACTACGTATATTATCCGACGTCTCTCCTCAAAAAAAAAATGAGCGCCATTTCCTGAACAAATCCATTTCTCTTTATATTAATGAAAGCAAATATTTGCTTTGCTACAGCCTCATGCTGCAATAACGCTGCCAAATACACGCCGGCAAGCTCATTTTCACTTGAACACATTCCACACCATCCACGCTATATGTCGAGGATTTTTTTCGGCAACAGCTCGATTGGCGTCGCAAAAGGCTAAGGCTAAACGTTCACCGTTTCCATGTCGACGGGGAGAGATGTGAAGTTGAGTTATCGCGTCACGAATTAGACTATGTGCGTTAGGTCCACGAAAGAAATTTGATTGACACTACTTGTTGTTAGTGAAAACGAGCGGCACTCATCGACTAGCCACAGAAATTTATTCAGGAAGTAGCGCATAGTTGTTTTTCGATAGATGGATGTCGTCTGCATGGCAGCGATAACGAGAAAAAGAGGAATATTGAGCGAAAGTAAAAAAAAGAAGTCATTTGTTCTGACCTGGATTTTGTCTTCTATATCCGCACCGTCGAAATACACATTCGATTTCGGATAATCATACTCTCCTTGATAAACAAGATCACCCACAGATCCACCGCCTTCTGAAAATAAAATTGGTAGTTGTAACCTAAGATTTCCTCCTTTAAATTTTCAGAGTAACAAAAAGATTGTTCCGGAAATTTGCGCCATATGAGTCCTTGTGAGCCATTAATTTGTGAATACCCCAATCGACTTACCTATTGCTTTGCACCCCTTCCCTCTCCTTTAGCTCAGCATACGGTAGTAGA